TGATCTTAATGCTGAATTAATCAGAAAAGCTGCCCAGTAACCTATGTTTCCAGCAGATGTTTCTGTTTTTTAAGCAGAGACATTGTAATCTTTTATTTGTCTTTCATTTCTTTCCATGAAAGCACAGTAGGGACAGTGTTTATCCCTGGTGATCAGATCTGCCAGGTTGCAGTCCTCCCTTAGACATAATAATTTTGCTGAACACACGGATCTTTTCTGAAGCTGCTTTTAAAAGGGGGACAGAGGAACAGCGTTAAAAGAAAGTGTTTCCCAGGCTCACAGATTCTATTCAATATGAAATTGTGGATTTTAATGCAGTGTATTGTTTTTAAGAAAGTATTGAATGTGATCTGATTTAATTCTATAGGGAGTAAGTTGGCAGATATTCAGAAACTTTCAGTCTTTTGCAAATGTAAATGGGTCTAGCTTTATTATTTTCGGTGGGATTATGATGATTTATTTCTGGGTTTTTTTTGGTTTTTTTGTTTTTTTTTCAGTTCTCTTCATACTAGGTTAACTCTACAAACTTGTTGGAGTTCCTGATTTACGGCAGTGTTAATGAGATTGGAATGGGTCTATTGTCTCTGCAAGAAAGTAAATAAAACATTATTAAATTAACTCATAGCATGTAGATAACACAGATATCCAGGAAAAGTTTTAAGCTGATAATAAGGATACTCCTACATGACAGGCGCTTAGCTTTAGCCATGTAAATCCAGTGTAGTTGGAACCCATAGAATGGAAACATAAGATCACATTTTACAAAATAAGCTGAACCTCTTTGACTCCAGTTTATGCACTTACATCTGAATCTGGATTTTGAGTCTATTGGTTTTGCTTCAAGTACAACATGGTTGCTGCACCTTTGTTATCTTGGTTATACAACAGAGAGTTAATTGGATTAAATTATGGCTTTTCGCCAAATAAATTAGCTGTGGTTAGTGTGAGATTATTTTGAACATGCAGTAATAACATGGAAAATAATGAATGCTATTGAGAGACCTTTGAAAAAATACGTGGCAAATCTCAGTAGGTCAATAGGTCAAAATACACAAAGCTGCGGTAAACTCAGAGCTTTTACATTCACCGTCCAGCAGAGGTCTGACAGCTGCATGGAACTCTGCAAGACAGCAAGAGTATGGGGGTGGAGGAGGAAGAAAAAGACATATTTAGTTTTATGTTTTAGTAAGAACAGTAACAGCAGCTAGTATCTACCAACTAATGCAAATTAAAGGATAGATTAAAGGTCTGACATAAAGCCCTGATTCCACTACTACATTTGTAACACTTGTTTTCATAGTGACCTTATACAATTTATACATCATTGAATGTTGCTTCCTTCTTCAATTTCTCAGGCTGCAATTCCTTTCTTTTAAAGTGCATTGAGAACTTCTGATGGAAACCAACAGTTTAATAATTGTACACTAAAATGTTATTAATAATAATCAACATTTATGTTCCTTTAAATAGGGCTGTATGTGTGAGAGTAAACGTTAGTTTGCAGTTACATCTTCCAAGTCCACAGTTTGAGTTCCTGGCACATCATATAATGTGTTTAAAGGTTCTTATCACTCCCAGCTTGCAAAAATTATTCAACAGAGATGAGTTGCTATGAAGGCATCTCAACTTCTTAAGTCAGTTTTCACCAGTATTTAGTCCCCATCAAGCAACAGTAAGAACAGCTCATCTCTAATCAGGCCAGTAGATTTTCAGCTACACCTTTCTTACAAAGTCTGCGTGTCTGTTATTCGTGATCCTCCTTTGTTTCAAATTTCTCCTTTATATATAGTGCAGTTTTGGATTCACCTTCAGGTTTGAGTATTCTTGTCTTCTGACCC